TCGCACCGGCCCGCCTGTTGCGTTCCAGCCTGGGTTCATCTCGAGACCTACAAAAGCTACAGCGCTGAAACTTTGGGAACTTAATCTATATGCATGTACTGGCCCCATCCCTAAAATGGGCAGTTTTGTCCGCGTGGTACCCTAAGTACGGGCCCGGGATAATTTTTTCCGGGTAAGTCGCTAACTCGGGAACCAGGGAAGTTAGAAAGATGAAATTTTAAGGGGATGTTCCCCGTCCACGTAATTCTTAATGAGCTTCAAACCAGTTCCCGGGTACGCGTGGTACCCGCGCGCGGGTCTGCCAGAGTTTTCGGGTAAGTTGCTAACTCGAGAACCTGGGAAGCTAGAGACTGAAATTCTAAGGCAGTGTTCTCCGTCTAAGTAGGTATTGATGTATTCAAACCCAGCCCGCGGGTACGCGCGATTCTTATGTACGAGCTCGTGAAAGTTTTTTACCGGCAAGTAACTAACTCGGGGACCAGGAAAGCTAGAAAGCTGGAATTTTAAACGGATGCTTCCTGACAGTCCTGGTGGACAGTCTCAATTCTTTTAGCTAGAAGCATTTGCCGGAAAAACCGGTGCCGATAGCAACAAAAAAATGCGGGGAACTATGCAAAAAAACGCATCTTCGCACCGTCAGTCAGTGCATTGGTCAATTGTCACACACTTTTGGGGCACATTTTCAGATACGAATAGGGCATAAGGCTTGTGTGTGGTACGCCTGCGCTATCGGCACAGTGATTTTTAGATCTATATTCAACGGAAAGAACACTTCAGCATTAACTGGTTACTCTGTTCCCAAAAATTTCATTTTGAATCACTGACAAAGGTGATTGCTGATATAGCTGTGAGACATACTGCTGCAAACTGTGGCCGCGTTTTTCCTAGCGAAGAAAGAATGATTTATATGGTACCATGCGTTATAACGCAGTTACTTCGGGGAGTTAATTTCACGTTTCTGGACATATGCATTTGTGCACATGGTCCTCAAATTTCCCGCTGGAGTCCTTGCCAAATGCAGCTCGACGGAAAAAAGATGTCGCGATGCTGCATAGGCGTTTGTAACTCGAACATTTTATAAAAGTTTTTGTCCAGAGCCATCACACAAACGTGACAAAATTTCTGCAGAATACACGTTCTGTTACACTCAGTTTTCATGATCAGAACGAGTGGCTTATGTCTCGTGAACCAGCAATACACTCATTAAGCTCTCGGCTACCACACATTCGTAGTCCCGGACTTAAATTATCCGACAAAAAGATGTTACGCAAACATACAGGTCCGTTCATACCACAGTGAATTTACCTTATACAAATACCCGTAAAAAAGGAAGTCTTCCACAATTGTGAGAAGCTACTCGACGTCGGAAGAGGCACATGAGACAGGAG